TTTTGTTTTGACTGATTAGATGCAATAATGTAATGCAAGAAAAAAAATGGAAAAAAAGTTGAAATTTTCGATTTTTTTAAATCACTTCTTGTGACGACCGGAAGTGACGTCGGAGGCATTTATCCCTATATCTGTTGCCCACTCTTCAAGGTTTATTATTCATATAAGTTTATTGTCTTGATCTGTTACCATTGCCAAGATCTGGCTATGCTTGCTACTCAGTTTGAGGACAGGAAATCACGTGACCGGAAGTCAATTTTTAAAAAGATATTTGTAGTTACTCGAGACATTAGCAATCTGAATAACGTCTAAAATCATTTCAAATACTCATTCTATAAAATATATTTATGGGATAGTAAGATACTCAATTTATAAAGTTTTTCTCTCATAACCGGAAGTTGTTGTTTTTGTTTCTTTTGGAACGGACATATATCGGATCTAGCTATGATAACTTCTCATTTTCAGGACAGGAAATCACGTGATCGGAAGTGAGTTTTGCAAAAATTCTTGACGTTAATGTAGACAGTTGCAGTCTGAATAACATATCCAAAAATCATTACAAATACTTTATAAATAAATGATATTTATTGGAAAGAAAAATACTGAAATTATATCGTTTCCCTCTTATAACCGGAAGTTGTCTTCTTTTGTTTCCGGTGGTACTGAAATATTTCAAAACTACAAATAAGATGCTATAATGTGATGCTAAAACAGTTTTATGAAAAAAAAGTTGAAAATTTCGATTTTTTGGATCACTTCCTGTGACGACCGGAAGTGACGGCGGACGATCTTATCACAGTTGATTTTGCCTACCCATCAAGATCTATCACTCTAGATAAGTTTGTGTCTTAATCTTTTACCGTTTACGAGATCTAGCTATGATAACTTCTCATTTTGAGGACCGGAAATCACGCGACCAGAAGTGAATTTTACAAAGATATTTTACGTTACTGTAGATATCTGCATTCTGAATAACATATCCAAAAATCATTACAAGTACATTACGTATAAAAAATATTTATGGGAAAGAAAAATACTGAAAATATGCAGTTTTTCTCTTATAACCGGAAGTTGTCGTTTTTGTTTCCGGTGGGACTGATATATTTCGAAACTACAGAGAAGATGCTATAATGTGATGCAAAAAAAGTTTCAAAAAAGAAAAGTTGAAATTTTCGATTTTTTTGATCACTTCCTGTGACGACCGGAAGTGACGGCGGACAATGTTAACCCAATTGGTTTTGCCTACTTATCAAGATCTATTACTCATATAAGTTTGGTGTCTTAATCTCTTACCATTTCTGAGAAATGACTCGGACAAAACTTTTTTGAAAAAAGCGGAAATCGGATATAACTGACGACCGGAAGTGAATTTTGAAAAACTGAAAACTGCATTTGAAAGATATTTTAACTCTCTATCATCCCTGAAAATTTCATCTGAATCCATCCAGTCATCTTTGAGAAATCGTCAAAACAAAAAGGCAAAATAATAATAATAATAATAACTAGAGCAAAGCTCGTTGCAAAGCAACGAGTAGGTCTTCCGTCCGGTTTTGACCGGAAGTGCCGAAAGTGACATCAACAAAATAAAGCAATGAGCTAAGTCGTCTCCAGTGACTTTATAATTTTGTATAAAGACATTCAAAATAAGCTATTTTTGGTTACTTCCGGTTTGACCGGAAGTGACAACGACGGACGGAAAATTGATTTTTATACACCCACAGACATATGTTATCCAAAAACTTGTCAAGAAAGGCAAAAATACGCGTTTTCCGACTACTTCCGGTATGGCCGGAAGTGATGACGCCGGACGTATTTTGACGACTCAGCTAGATTAGGCTTGTCATTTTGAACAACTTTGCTTCTTTGAAGTATTACAAATTATCAATACTTTTCGAGATATCAATTAAAAACTTATGGCCCCTCTAGATCCCTTATTTTAGGGGTCAGCCCTTTTTTCGAGATATCATTTGAAAGATCTCAGAACTATTCACAATTTTTGCTCTATATGTTTTAACAAAATATTTACAAGTAAAACGATATAATAGAAAAAGTGTTAGAAATTTTAAAACGCTCAATATGACTTTTTTCAGACCATACCGAGCGTTAACATGCAGTACTTCCGGTGAAAGTTAACAACACAATGCAAATCTACATTTGTTGCTCTATCTTCCAGAAAAGGTTTCATCTTCCTGTGGTGAGCGGTTTTCAAGAAGAGCGACGGACAAAATAACCCTTAAAAATCACAAAATTGCGAAAATCTTCGAACCGGAAGTGACGTCATCAAAATGAAAAAAAATGCATCAAGTTTTTTATATGTTCTATCAGACTTGAAAGTTTCATAAAAATCTAATGAGCCGTTTTTGAGAAATCGCGTGCACAAAATCGGTAAGAAAAAAAATAATAAGAACTAGAGGAAAGCTCATTGCAAAGCAACGAGTAGGTCTTCCGTCCTGTTTGACCGGAAGTAGCTTTCATTTTCAACAAAAATGAGAAATAACGCCTAAAAATGATTTGAATCATCAAAAGCTATGTTAATTAATGCAAAAATAAGCAATTTTTGCTACTTCCGGTTTAACCGGAAGTGACGACGACGGACGGAAAATTAATTTTTATGCTCCCAGAGACATATGTTACCCAAAAAACTTGACAAGAACGACAAAAATACACGTTTTTGACTACTTCCGGTTTGGCCGGAAGTGACGACGCCAGACGTGTTTGGACGACTCATGTAGATTAAGCTTGTCATTTTGAACAACTTTGCTTCTTTGAAGTATTACAAATTCTCAATACTTCTCGAGATATCAAGTAAAAAATTTTGGCCCCTCTAGATCCCTAATTTTAGGGGTCAGCCCTTTTTTCGAGATATCATTTGAAAGATCTCAGAATTCTTCACAATTTTTGTTCTCTATGTTTTAACAAAATATTTACAAGTAAAGCGATATAATAGAAAAAGTGTAAGAAATTTTGAAACGCTCAATATGACTTTTTTCAGACCATACCGACCGTTAACGTGCAGTACTTCCGGTGAAAGTTAACAACACAATGCAAAACTACATTTGTTGCTCTATCTTCCAGAAAAGGTTTCGTCTTCCTGTGATGAGCGGTTTTTAAGAAGAGTGACGGACAAAATGACCCTTAAAAATCACAAAATTGCGAAAATCTTCGAACCGGAAGTGACGTCATCAAAATGAAAAAAAATGCATCAAGTTTTTTTTATGTTCTATCAGACCTGAAAGTTTCATAAAAATATAACCAGCCGTTTTTGAGAAATCGCGTGCACAAAATCGGTAAGAAAAAAAATAATAAGAAAAACAGTGGAAAAGAAACAAACGAATAACAAGAAGGTCTTCCGCCGAAGACGGAAGACCTTAAAAACAGTGGAAAAGAAACAAACGAATAACAAGAAGGTCTTCCGCTGAAAACGGAAGACCTTAATAATAATAATAAAAAGAAAAAACAGTAGAATCACTATAAGGTCTTCCGTCTGAAACGGAAGACCTTAAAAAGAAAAAACAGTAGAATCTCTATAAGGTCTTCCGTCTGAAACGGAAGACCTTAATAATAAAAAGAAACAGTAGAATCACTATAAGGTCTTCCGTCTGAAACGGAAGACCTTAATAATAATAACTAGAGGAGATCTCGTTGCGAGCAACGAGTAGGTCTTCCGTTTGATTTTTGATAAGGTTATAAAACAACTTTAAATGAAAAAAAGTGTTCAGATCAATTATTCAAAATACGTGAGAACACATTTAAGAGTGAAATCTATCAATTTCAAACAACTTCCAGTAATATAATTCACTTCCGGTGTGACCGGAAGTACTTAAAATGACCTATGACTCCTCTCTGAGCGTTTAGGAATGATCCCTGATAATTTCGAGGAAAAATGCTCATTTTTTGGACTACTTCCGGTTTTGAAAAAATAACTTCCGGTGGACATAATTTTACTCGAGACACTCTATTTGCCTCCATTAGAAACATTTAAAAAAGAAAAAAAGAAAATTTTGCATATTTTTAAATTACTTCCGGTGGACGACGGACGCGACGGAAGCAAAAACTTTATATCCTTCTCAAATCTAGGAGTCATAATCTATTATCCCTGAAAGTTTCAGGACTCAATCTTCAACCGTTTTTGAGAACACTCTCGGACAAAATGACACTTTAAAAACAGAAAAATTGCCATATCTCGCGACCGGAAGTGACGACGGCAAAATAAAAAAAAAACGCATAAAGTTCAAATAGTTTCCAATCATTGCTGAAAGTTTCATGAAAAACTGTCGAGGCGTTCTCGAGAAATCGTCTGCACAAAATCGGTAAGAAAAAAAAGAATAATAATAATAATAGTGGAAAAGAAACAACAGAATCAGTAGAAGGTCTTCCGTTGGAGACGGAAGACCTTAATAATAATAAGAAACAGAGTAAAAACAATACGTTCCCCAACTTCGTTTGGGGAACATAATAAGAAACAGAGTAAAAACAATATGTTCCCCAACTTCGTTTGGGGAACATAATTAATGGATAAACTTCTGCCAAGTCTTTAGTCTACAAAAACTGTAGACTACTGCAAACTTAAGGAATTTTCAAGATATACGTTTAACTTTACAGCCGTTTTTGCTCGAGTACGATCGAGTCAACCATTTTTTGTCACAGGTGATCTAGATATTGACGTCATTTATCATTGTTACGTTAAAAACAATGAGCAAAACATTTCGTTTCATATGCTATTTATAGAACATGTTTATGACTCTTTGTTTGCCAAATTTCATTCTGATCTGAATTGTGGTTTCGAAAATATAGAGGTTCGCGAGCTTTTTGATGACCCCTCGTATAGTAAAACTTAATCACATTTGTGGCATAATCTGATAAAAGAAAAATTCATTCAAAATTAAAATGTATGGAGTACAATGAAAAGATATTGATAACAAGTGCATGCACTCTACTTGTAAGGGTTTATAGTTTTTGTTAATTTTTGTGAGACATAATTTAGCAGAATTGTTGTTAATCTATATTCTGTACTGAAACACTTTGACATGTCCTTTCAAGTATCCTACCCATAGTGTAGACCTGTATAGGGACAGTGAGCATGGATATTTAATTTCATCCTCTGTCAGCAAAAACTTCAGGAACAACCCTTCAGGACTCAGTAAATGGATCTGGTTGTTGTTAATGTCAGGTACGAGGATGTTACAGAGGGAGTCACACTCTGCATTACCTGGCCTAAAGTCCTCTGAGAGGTTTTGTCCACGGTAGACAGACTTCATACGACCAGAGGGAGACATAATCACTAGTTCACCTGTTGTTTCACTTGTACTGTTCACAACACAGATATCTTTATTTTTGTTCTGTTTGACTCTAACTGGCAATGTAAACAGTCTGGTCTGACCATCCTCCTGGTACTCATACTCATGGATGACGTCACCTGTCACAGTGATGTGTCTCACCAGACGTCTGCTGTTTGAATCTAATTTATAAAGATCTGATTCTAAGTCTGTCAAGGTGAGCAGTAGGCCACCGTTTATTGCCTGACAGATTCCGACTGGTCCCAGTGGTTCTGTACTGATGATTGTAGAGACAGATCCTGATGGTGACAGACAGCTGATGGAATTTTTACTGATGTTAGTGAAATAAACATCTCTATTATCAGTTACACATATGTCATTAATTTTAGTATTAGTACTAAATCTATGTTCTTTTGTGCCTTGTTGATTGACTTTTTCTATGTATTTTGAATTTAGTTCATATATGTAACATTGGTCCTCACTGAATTTCTCCAGAGAAAGTATTCTTTTTTCTCCATGTTGAAATTTATTTTCTTGAGTTGCACCAATATTATCCAAGTCCAATGTCTTTCCAACCAAAGATTCAAGAAATTCTTCATTAATTTCACCTCTAGTGAATCTCACCGAGTGTTCATATTTTGTCATATGAACCTCGACTTCAGACAGCAATTTTGTCAGTTCTCTGTGGTTGTCAATCAAGCTGTAATCTGACATGGTGCTGTTGTTCTCCTCCATAAATTTTAATGTGTCCAAAATTCCTTTCTTTTTCTTCTCTAATTCAGATTTCACATGATTCAGTTGATCATTCTTTTTAACTGAACTTTCTTTCATCGTATTTTCATGGTGATTTTTTATTTTTGTTAGCCTGGCCATTATCTCATCATAATGTTTCTGAAGCTTTTCAATTTCAAAGTCACACCGTTGCTTATTTTCTGTGATCTGTTGTGGAATCTTCTTTAGCTTCTCATCAACGTTATGTAGATCTTCTTCCTTAATCTTTTTCAGAAATTTATGTAAACCTTTTCTCCTTTCGATGGCAGCCGTAGATATAGTCTTCCAGGCATGATCTCTATGGTTAGATTTTGCACAATCACCACAAATGAATTCATCACAGTCCTCACATATCATATCAATCGGCAATTCATGAGTTCCACACATTTCAATGTGATTTTGAGGAGAGCCTAATGGATATATTTTGGTGGTGTGGGCAGCCATGTTTGTCGGGTGTATCTGAATAACCTAATTTTAGCATGCAAGTTAGATAATCAAAGAAATTGTGATGTTAGATTTTAATTTTATTGATTATCATACCTAGATGTGCAATGAAATATAAACACACAGGTAAATGCATAAATTTTAACATGAAGTATTCTTTTGAACCTTACAACAAGAGAATATATGGGATCTCTGAGCTATATATATATATATATATATATATATATATATATATATATATATATATATATATATATATATATATATATGTATGTATGTATGTATGTATATATATATATATGATTCTAATTGTGTAATTAACAGAAATGTCCTATGGATAAAAACAGATACATGTATTAGTTGTACATTCTACTGCATTCGACTTTTCACCCCCTCTTGCACTTGAAAGAATCAGGGGCAGTAAGCATATATGAGCTGCCCAATATTTTAAAGAAAATTTTATACCAGTGCTATCGTTAAGTTGGTTTATTTTTCATATAACGAGATGTCCAGTTTGATGTAAACAGCAATAAAATTTTCAACATTTGATTTGTAGTTGAGTTATCACGATGTGAAGTTGTGTGATTTTTCCGGAATTGAGAAATTTCCATCAAATTCTCACATTCCAAACAAGATTTAGATATGGCCGCACGAAAACAACAGAGTAAAAATTTAATAGATTGTTTAAAATGACATAATAAATTATATCCCAAAATATCATTCTGTTGTTCGCATGCGGCCACCCTGAAAAATATAAAAAACGATGTTTTTTGAGGCCGATTTTGATCGCTTCCGGTTTCGGTTTTTATATTCAGACGTAAACTAAGTTGGAGGAAACAGAAAATATGACAGTAGATTTATCGAAGTTCTAACCATTTAACAGGTAGGGATGAATTGAAAATCAGAGCAATTGTAATTTTACATCCACTACTTATATGCACTGTTCAAAATTAAATCCCTCCTAAACTTATTAATGATAAAAGATTCGACATGACAGACTCTGCTAACTCCATGAACTCGGGGGGGACGGTAATCAATGCATGTCAAACAGTTGAAAATAGAAAATGTGTATTTAAAATATATTAAACAGGAACACAACGTGCTATCTTCTTTCAAATAAAAACTAAATTATAAAAAGTTGACTTATTCATCGATTCTCTTTGATTTAGGCCCGAATATTCATGATTCATGAACCCTCGATCGGCCGGTTGACCTGCATGATTAGCCGCGTTTTATCAGTTGTGAAAATCTTTACATATACGGCATTAAAATATAAATAGGGCCTACACTACATTTCTATGTTGGTGTTTATTACATATTTTTCTGTCTGATTACAAATACAACCGATTCTAGCGTTTGTGTATTCAAGAGACCTTACCCTGGTACCTGTGTACTTTGTGTAAATGTATGGTGTGCTATAATGGGTGCAAGATGTTTCGGGACCACGACGTTTCAGGACCTGACTAATACGACGTTTCGGGACTAGCGACAAGACGGTTCGGGACTTGGGTAAAGACGATTCGGGACTTGGGTTAATTTTTTTTTCGGGATCTCAACAAATTATTTTATTTCATATATAATTCATATATATTTCATATATAATAGTCAAAAATAAAAAAAAATTGTAAGAGTTTTTTTTTTTGTTGTTGCAGAGACATATAAAACCATTGTAAATATAAAACCATGGTTTTATATGTCTCTGGTTGTTGTAAAACTGTTAAAGAAATAAAAAAAATTAGTTTCTTAAAAACAAGCTAACATCACTAAATCTAATTAATGTTCTTTGCAGAATAAATAATAATTATAAATAAAATTCTTTCTATTTTTCTTGTGGGAACAATGTATTTTTTGTTTTTTTTTTTTTAACCAATTAATTAAAATATTATTAACATAAAATTAAACTTTTGTAAGTATTAAAAAAAATAATTAGATTACCAAGGAATATTTTAAATTTATTTAAGTCACCATTTAAATGAAAAAAAATGTTTGTCATTACAAGCTTCATCTTTTTTGTTTTAATTTAAAGTACCCAATAATGTCCTTGCCTCTGATTTTATTCATTAAACTCAAAAAGGTAAATCAATAAAACTGCTATTTAAATTGATTTCTTGAATGAAATAATTATATATTGTACCTGGTAATATTAATAAATTATTCCCTTTTTTCATATATAAAGAAAATCTTATGCAAATGTATATACACTGTACAAGTAACCCCCCCCCCTCTCCGTCCATAGTTAAAGACAAAATGCGCATACATAATATATATAGTAATTTAATTTTGATATTCATATTTTAATTGTAGGATGCCTGGAGAAGGTCCAAAACGATATCCTGTTACTTGAGCTGTTACTTGTTGGTATTGTCAGTGCTGTGCCCATGTGACCTCAATATTGTGGTTTCTTGGCTATGAAAGACACACAAACTTTGCAGTAAGACCTACTCAAGACTGGGCTGACTACCTTGAGGATGCAGAGCTCTGTGCTTCCTGCAGTAATGAATGGCTCATCAGAAAGTGAAATGGGTGCAACGGAAGAGTGACATGAATTGCAACATTGGTTTATTGAGAGTGAACATTATTGAGAGTGAACATTCTGCAGATTATAGGCGTCTCCATATGTGTGAAAATTCTCGAGAGGAATGTTAAACAATATACAATCAATCAATCAATCTGCAGGTTATGATATCCACTGCATTAGACTCCCATTGTTGTTTTCAACAATATAGTGGAAGGCTGTGTATATATTGTTATTCATTAATTGTAAATAGGGATTTTTATGTATCTATGATTTTTAGCTCACCTGAGCCGAAGGCTCCAGTGAGCTTTTCTGATCAAAATTTGTCCGTTGTCTGTCGTTGTCGTAGTCGTTGTCGTTGTTGTCGTTGTCGTTGTCGTCGTCGTAAACTTTTCACATTTTCATCTTCTTCTCAAGAACCACTGGGCCAATTTTAACCAAACTTGGCACAAAGTATCCTTGGGTGAAGAGAAATCAAGTTTGTTCAAATGAAGGGCCAGGCCCTTTTCCAAGGGGAGATAATCATGAATTAGAGAAAAATTAATGGCATTTTTAAAAAATCTTCTTCTCAAGAACCGCTTGGCCACTAAAGATGAAACTCATGTGGAATCATCTTCAGGTAGTGTAGATTCAAGTTTGTTCAAATCATAACCCCCGGGGCAAGGGTGGGGCCAAAATGGCCGACCCAAGTTTTACATAGGAATATATACGAAAAATCTTTAAAAAATCTTCTTCTCAAGAACCACTGGGCCAGGAAAGATGAAACTCATGTGGAATCATCCTCTGGTAGTGTAGATTCAAGTTTGTTCAAATGATGACCCCCGGAGCTAGGGTGGGGCCAAAATGGCCGACCCAAGTTTTACATAGGATTATATAGGAAAAATCTTTAAAAAATCTTCTTCTCAAGAACCACTGGGCCAGGAAAGATGCAAGTCATGTGGAATTGTCCTCAGGTAGTGTAGATTCAGGTTTGTTCAAATGATGACCCCCCCTGGGGCAAGGGTGGGGCTAAAATGGCCGACCCAAGTTTTACATAGGAATATATAGGAAAAATCTTTAAAATCTTCTTCTCAAGAACCACTGGGCCAGGAAAGGTGAAACTCATGTGGAATTGTCCTCAGGTAGTGTAGATTCAAATTTGTTAAAATGATGACCCTTGGGGCAAGGGTGGGGCCAAAATGGCCGACCCAAGTTTTACATAGGAATATATAGGAAAAATCTTTAAAAATCTTCTTCTCAAGAACCACAGGGCCAGGAAAGATGAAACTCATATGGAATCATCCTCAGGTAGTGTAGATTCAAGTTTGTTCAAATGATGACCCCCGGGGCTAGGATGGGGCCAAAATGGCCGACCCAAGTTTTACATAGGAATATATAGGGAAGCCTTTTAAAATCTTCTTTTCAAGTACTTCAAAGCTATGATTAGTGTTATTTATATGGAATCATACTCAGGTAGTGTAGATTCTAGTTTGTTCAAATGATGAACGCCTGGGGGGGGTGGGGTAAATTCAAGCCCGATGTGCTCAGGTGAGCGCTGTGGCCCCTGGGCCTCTTGTTTTTCTGTTTAAATAGTGATTTCTTAACATTTGTTATATAATCGAGAAATTAAAATATAGTACATTGTACATCCCAAAAACATATTAGATTCATTGCATGAGTTTAACAAGTTCGGTTGTAAATATTGAAAGATTAATTATGTACATTGACAAATGAAATGATTTGTTATTATCATATGATTATACTTCATGAATAATTGTTATCAAAATTAATATACTGATGTAAAATGCATAATGCATCACAAAATGTTTCTCAGATAATAGTAACAATTATAGTTTATTACGCAATGTGTTTATTTGCATATTGAACTTTTTAATAATTAACATGACTATATACAAGTACTTGTTATTTTTTGTAATACAATGTAATTACAAAACCTTTCCAGTCAAACATGTACTAGTATAACTAATTCTTTGATGCTTATTATGAGTAAATGTAGTGTATAAGGCATGAGTGGTGTGATGTTAAACTTCTATGATCTTTTTGGTAAAAGTATAGGTGAGTGATGGGAGTTCTGGAATTTGTTTATGCAAACTGAAATCCCTTTTTGTTATTTTTGTCAAGTTTAATGAATTTTTATTAAAAATGTTAGTTGAATACATTTCTTGTTTGTTCACTTTGTGCATTCAATGTATTTTTATGTTAAATACATACAAGCAAATTCAAAGAATTGTGGTGCCCCGCTTTCGGTGTCTTTGTGAGTGAGATGTTATTTTTTCTGACATATTGTGTCTAATATGAACACCCTATCATATGTCATTTATTTAGAAATTATCATTGAAATTGATTTTTTTAAAGGTTGAAAACCCTAATCCTGACCGTTAAAAACTTATGGCCAAAGTGAAAGTTTTTAAAGTAGGTCAACTCCAAGGTCAAGATCAAAGGGTCAAAGTTGTTGGTATCCAATTAAAGCTCCTGCCACAAAGAA